ACCCAGCCCCTGGTAACGCTTGATCTATTCTCTGTCTGTGGAGTGGATATTTCATATAATTGAAATATCATACAATATGTAGTGTTTTATGTCTAGCTTCTTTCACTTAGTATAATGTTTTCATGATTCATCCATATTATAGTTCATAGCAGTATTTCATTCCTTTTTATAGCTAAATAATAGTCTATTATATGGATATAAAGTATTTTGTTCATCCATTCATCTGCTCATGGACATTTTGGTTGTTTTTGCTTTGTGCCTATTGTGAATAAGGCCGCTGTGGACATTCATGTATAAGTGTTTGTAGGGACATAAGTTTTTATTTCTCTCAGATATATACCTGGGAATAGAATTGTTAAGTCATATGGCACTTCAGTGTTTAACAAGTTATCCACAGCAGCTTCACCATTTTACATTTCAACCAGCAATGTATGAAGGTTCTAATTTCTCTGTATCCTTGCTTTATTATAATTTGTAAAAATTCATCCATCAAACCTTTGAATCCTTACCATATGCAAGGTGCCATGCCAAGATAGATGCTGTGTGCGTTTCAAAGAACAGCAAGGCAGCATACTTAGATGTGACAAGGTTTTGGCCTACTGGGAGCTAAGATAAACATAAATATCATGGAAAAAGTAAATGTTAGTGGCCTAACACTTAGTGGCACAATTAAAGTGCTTTGAGGATTTCAGAGGAGATTACTCCCAGATAGCGAATTAGAAGAGGCTCTTTAGGGTGGCTTCTGATGGTGGGGGAAAGGTTTATTTCTTATATCTTAGACTGAGGAATTTAAATCCTATTCTGTAGTTGGTGGGAAACCAGAAATTTCTGAGCAGGATAGTGATATAATTTGATTTTGAGTCGAGGAACAGAGAATGGCAGCCAATAAGTGAGTCTGAGGCAAATGATGGAAGAGAGACAATGCCTAAGAAACTAGTTTCTTAAATAGGAGAGTAATTGGACCTTGAAGAGTGACAAATACAAATGAAAAAGAAGCAGTGGAATAGACAGGACTTGGAAACTTCCATCTTTATATTCTCCCTAGATCTCATCTCTTCCCCTGACTTTAAACATTATCTACGAAATACAACCAAAATTCTGTCTCTAGAACAGTCCTCTCCTTTGAGCTCTAAAACACGTACTTGACATGTCATATTTAAAATGTTCAAAAAAAGAATCTTGGTTTCCCCTCTAATCTAGTCTTTCATGTTTTTTAATAGTTCTAAGAGAGTTTTAAGTGATGTTTTTCCTTCTTAAAATTTATCAGTAATAAACAGAAGCCCTTCAGTTAGTCACTCTATAAAAATAGCCACAACCCCAAAAGGCATCACTGAAGAACTTTAGTTTAAAAATTTTGAGAGCATCCCTAGCCACCCACCATGGCGGGCAGCCACCTGGAGACCGTAGGAGCATCTTCTTGCAGATGCGGGACCTGATTCGAGCTGGGGTGTTGAAGGAGAAGCCCCTGTGGTATGAGATATATAACGCCTTGCCCCCACTGAAGGAGCCAGTCTTCCGAAGGCCCCACTTGCGTTATGGCAAAGACAAAGATCCCATCCAGGACATCTGGTACTGCAAGGATTGGATCAGAGCAAAATATTATTCGGTCTATGGATCTGGTCAAATTTTGCTCTGTTCAGTCTAAACTTCGAGTCTACCTGTCAGCAGTTTCTGGAGAAATACACTGAGCTACAGAAACTTGGCGAAACAGAAGAGAAGTTATTTGTGGAAACAGGGAAGGCTTTATTGGCAGAAAATGTCATTTTAAGATGAGTAGGAGAAGCAAGGACTCAGCAGGAAGGTAGTCATGTTTCCCGGAAATCTGAACACATGAGTATCAGACCCCAAACTACATTGGATGGAAACAAGCCTCAGAAAGAAGTTTCACAGGACCAGCATTTGGCAGCACCTCAAGAACAGGTGAAAGGTCTCTCACCACCCTGAAGATTGTATACTGTGTATACTGACATCCACATAGTACTTACTACATGAATGTTGAGCTATTTTTAACAGTCGAACTGTGTAAATGTTTCTTAATCTCTAAGGCATAATGTTTGCCTTCTTTTAGTTCTGATTTCTGGGTTGTCATAAAGCTCAGTATCATGTTTTCAAAGAAGCAGTTATATGGACTTTTATGTTAGGACATAACTAAATAATTCCCTAGCTGCTTATAAAGTAAATTTACTTTGAAATTGTAAATTACATGAGGAAACCTTTATAAAGATTGTTTGAATGGGGCTGGACGCAGCCTGTAATCCTAGCACTCTGGGAGGCCAAGGCGGGAGAATCACTCAAGGTCAGGAGTGTGAGACCAGCCTGAGCAAGAGCAAGACCCTGTCTCTACTAAAAATAGAAAGAAATTAGCTGAACACTTAAAAATATATAGAAAAAATTAGCCAGGCATGGTGGCACATGCCTGTAGTCCCAGCTACTCGGGAGGCTAAGGCAGAAGGATCACTTGAGCCCAGGAGTTTGAGGTTGCTGTGAACTAGGCTGACGCCATGGCACTCTAGCCTGGGCAACAGAGTGAGACTCTGTCTCAAAAAAAAAAAAAATTAAAAAAAAAAAGTCTCTAGACTGGACCACAGAACCAGTATCAAGGGATTATCCCTAACTAGCTATTCTTTCTGCAGGCTGGCCCTGAACTCCAGGCCTGGGCCAGTGTGCAAACCAGCCCTGTCGCAGCTCATAACAAGGCACCCACTTGCTGTCCAAGAGAGGAAAGTGTATGGGTAGAGATTCCACGTCTATTCTTCATCTGGGACTCTATAGAGGCAGAGTTTTTTGATTTACATTTAAGTATCAGTGGGATATATAATAATATTTTCAGGTCTTTTCAAGCTTTCTATTCCTGGGCCAATTTTGCCATTTCGTAGAAATATATGTAGTTTAAGATTTTCAAATTTATTAGCTTATAACTGTTTATGTGGTTTTTTGCTCATGGTGTTTCTTAACCTGTTGTTTTATTTCCTCCTCCTCTTCATGCTGTCTTTATTTATATCCTTTTTCCTAAGCAGTTTTATCAGAGTTTTTCTTCAAGTAATCTTTTTTAAAATTATATTTTTTAATCATCTGTATTTTTCTGACCTTTTTTTGCTTCTCTTTCTGTTTCTTTAGGTTTGCTTTATTGTGCTTTTCTCATCTTCTTGATAAAAATGCTTAGATTAATGTGATTTTAGTCTTTAAGAAAAGTGTTTTTAAAGCTCATTTTCCATTAAGTATTGATATAGCTGTTATATTGCAAATTTACTCGGTGTTGTCATTCTATTTATGTGTTTTGAAATTTTCATTATCATTGCCCCCTTTTTCTCACAGTAAGAAATATGGCTGCCATTTTTCCTCAGTATTTTTTTAGTTTTTGATCAATTCTCAGTATATAACCAACTTCCATTTACTACCTCCTCCCTTAACTCCAATTCCCTCCTCACTACACCCAGGTGCAACATCTGTGCAAGACACTTTGCTGTGTGGAAGCCCTCAATCCTTGGCCTTGTCCCTCTGCCAGGATGATGCCATCCTCACTCCACTCAGGCTCCCACAGTCTGCATTGAGCTGCCCCTCTTACTGGTACACTTATGCAGCTAAGCAGGTTCTGACACCCTGCACTGGGCTACTCCCTTCCCGTCCCCCTCTTCCCCCCCCCCGTTCTGCGACCCTCATGGATGCCCTTCACATCCTGTTTAGGCAGAATACCCTGCTCTGGGCCTGTGCAGCTCCCCCTCTGCTGCCCATAGATTCTTAACCTTGCTTGACCTCACCTAGTGACTTTTGAACAGAATTTATTTTTGAGGAAGGAGAGAGGGAAAGTGGGAACTGCAAGAGAAAGTCATTTTCTAATTTTGATACAGTGTGGTCAGAAAACAGAATGTTTTATTCTTTGGAACTAATTGAGGCTTCCTTTAACTAGTATATGGTCAATTTTTATGACCGTTCCGTGTGTGATCAAGGAATGTATAGCCAGGGTGATACATACATCAACTTATAAATTATGTTTTTCAAATCTTTTTTTCTTTCACATCTTTTACTTTTTACATGCTTGTACTTAACTTTTTACATGCTTGTCCTAATAATACTCTTTTAATTATTTTAGAAGTATATAAAAAGTATAGATAATAAATGAATAGTCTTGTACCCGTCACTCAACTTGAGAAATAATGCATTACAGATATAGTCGAAGTCCTCTGGGACCTCTTTCTGATTCCACAGAGGTATTTACTATCCTGAATTTGGTATTTCTTATTCCCATGAACTTAAAACAGTAGAGCAAGGCTGCCGAGCTGGGTATATGAGAAAGGTCCTCCAAACTAAAATTTACCAGTGTAGACCAGAATTGCCCACAGATGTAAAAATTCTTTTCTATCAAAAAGCTTTGGAGCCCCTGAAAGAATGTTGAGAATTTGCCAAAGAAATTTTTGTTTCATCTCAGTGCATATCAAGTTAAGATTATATTAATAAAAGTTTTAAATCTCTAAATTGAGAGCTAAGTTTCTAAAAATATGTACCACGTAAATACGTGAAGAATACTATGACAGGTATCTTGTTTTAAGGATCCTAGCTGTGGATAGTACTAAATAATTAGGTAGTTGATGACTGTGGTAACATACTAGCAAGCTGTATGGCTCCTTGGCCACTTACAGCAAGCTGTTCCATTAGTGAGAGAAAAATCTACATCTAAAAGACCATTAATTTGCATTTCCGAATACCTCAGATAGCTAAATTAGAGAAACAGTTATATTAAAAAAACAAACTTCAGTGTTAGTCTCTGGTGTTTTTAAAAAAATAAACTGTGTTCAGGTGACTCTTCTGAAATCCTTAAAAGATTTATATCCAGTCATGTTGTTATAGGTGGTGACACATTAAATTAGTATCTAAATTGGATTTAAGGGTTTTGACTCTGAGGACCTTGATTTGATAATTTATGTCTCATTTTGGCAGTTATAATTGACAATGATTTTTGCTTCTTGTGATTCAATGTGTTATTTTGTTTTTTTGATTTACAGAGTGATCTGTGTGGCCTTTTAAATGATTGAGTGAAGATGAAAATGGATCAAAAATAATAAGTGACTTCTCTACCAAAGCAGTAGAAGATCCTTCATATCACCTTCCAGTAGCTAAATTCAATTTTGGGACGGGGCAGAACAAGTAAAATACAGAAAACTGAAGAAAAGAAAACCTCATTTTGGAACTATCTTTCTCCTTGACTTTACGCTTATCCCCTATCTTTCTACTTGTTTTACCTTTGTTCTGAATTTGTAAATAAAGACCAAAGAAATACGGCATACATTTAGGAGCTTTATACCAAGAAACTTGCCTTGAAAGCTGCTATTCCCTGGAGGGAAAAGTATATCAAGTTCCTGTCTTTTTTTTTTTCTTTTTCTTTTTTAGACAAGATTTCTAATGTCCTTAAATTTTGAAGGTTAAGACAAATATATATATCTGCATGCTATTTTTAGCAGTTGTGTGAGTAAGAATAATGAGATTTGTATTTTAAGGGCTTTGTCATGTGGATGTTTTGCCACTGAAGTTGACTCCTCAGAATATCTTTTAGAGGGCTTTAACATTGTATTTTTGATCTATCACCTTGATGACATTACTTGCCCACACTTGAGCCCACCTGTCTTTCTAGCTATGATCTTGTTATGAACAGTGTTTGTACTCACTGTGCAAATGTCCATGTATCACTTAATTAAGCAACATCATAGTGCTGTAACTCAAGGAAGTTGAATGAGGTGAACATAGACATAGCTTTTTCCCCCCTTTTTTAAATGTAACAAATATTTTTTATGTTCCCCTTCCCCTTTCCCCCTTCCCCCTTCCCCCTTTTGGAAACGTGTCAGGAACTAGGTAGTTTAAGATGAGCAATTGAGGGGACTGAGAGAGTGATCCACACAGAGCCTGGCTGCTTTGTGCTTCATCATAAGTCGTGCTGCTGACCAGGTTACTTTAAGCACCCTTTTAACAAGAAAACCTCGTGGGAGATCCAGCTGGCAGACTCAAGGAGTTCAGGAAACAGGACCACAGAGGTTATACTCTGGGGTAAATATTCTTCATTTGTCTAACTTTGGAAAAAACTATATATGTGTCATGAAAAATATCAGTTGTTTTCTGATGTATTTAATTTTGGATAATATCAGGGATTTGAAGATACTGACGGATCTCGGGAAAACTGATGCTAATTGGTATTTGAATAAATTAATGTAAACTAAATACAAACGCTCTTGAGAGGTTATGTCTTCCTTCTCTGGGAAGACCTTTTGTACTGCTTTTGCTAGAGGTTACCTGAGTACTTGAAGCAGATTAATCTCTTCATAAGTATCTGTAGTTTTAAGTCAGTGTTTATTCAAGTTCTTCTGATGTAACTTAAGAGTTCATTAGCTTCCTTCACAAAGCCTTCCAGACTCATGTTACATTTTTCTCTTTGTGTTTTTCATGGTCATGTATTCACAGACTGCTTTTGTTTAGAACATCTCTGAGATATGGAGAGTGGTAAGCAGTCTGTAGAGGGACTCAAAGGACAGCACTTTCTGTAAAGAAGGATATTAGGATAGTCACAGATTACTTTACACGTTGGTATCAGATTCTTGCAAGCATGAGTAATTTTAGTTATCTTGTTTTCAGATCCTGGCCATGAGGTTGGATGCCTCACCTTGCTGAAAAAGAGACACTGGACCTAAATGGCGCAGCATGATTTTGTTCCTGCTTGGCTAAATTTCTCAACACCACAGTCAGCTAAGGTACTATTCTCCCTTCCTATAGTAACTACGCAAACACTAGTTTTTTTTCATCCCCACCTGGCCTGTGGCCTCAGTTTTATAGTCAGGTGCTTCTTATATATTCAGCCTTGCTGGGGATTTCAAAAAACATTTTCATAGACTTATTAGCATTCTGTTAATAGTATACAAGTATTATAATTAAACAGTTCACATCAGTGTGTATATTATTGTCACCAAGTGTACCGTTTTTCATTTCATCCTAGGCTTTTCTCTTGATATGCATAGTTAAGGCATCCTGTATTAGCTGCAGCACACTTTGGAAATAAAACCTGCTAACCTATTGTGGATGTCAAAGGGGCAGAAGTGAAAGGGAAGTGGCCCTTGGGTAAACGGATCTTTGGAGTCAACACATATTCATCCACAGCAGTAGATGAAGAAGAGGAAAAGGGAGAGACAGTGATTGTTCAACTACTACATGAATCTCAGATTAAATCCTAGGAATTCTCCTTGAGAGACATTAATCTACTTAATGATTTCAGGGGAAATGTGCCTTGCATTAGGGGTAAAGACAAACAGAATAACCAGTTCGTATAGATTAAAGCAGACCTAGTCAAAGTACAAAAAAAATAGCCTACATTATTAATAAGGAAACATTTAGGAAGCTAGTAAACTTGAAAGTGCTTCCTGTTTTGTGATTAATAGAGAAGGAATGAAATTGATACATAGTCTCAAAAATTTTTCCTGTTTTTAAATGTTGATTTTTTGGGGAAGATGCTCCTGGTCTCATCCAGACCCACAACCTTTCGTTCTAAACCTCATTTTGAATTATCTGTGAATGTCAAGATCTCATAATTTGCCTAATCTGACATAAGCAAGGTTTAGGGGTGGTAGGCCAGAGGGATTGGGGTGTGGGAACCAGAAAAATACTTTAGAAAGTATATAGATCTCATATCTGCAAAGAATACCAGCAACATGAACTAAGTAAAAAGAATTAGAAGACATTATTTCAATGTGTTCAATAAAGCTACAGTAAGCAAGGTTGTGTGGTTTTGGCATAAGGGTAGACATAAAAGGAATAGAACAGAATAGAGTTCAAAAATAGGCCTGTATGTGCAGTCAGTTGATTTTTGACTAAAGTGCCAAGGTAATTCAGTGGGGAAGCAATAGTTTTTTGTTTTTATACAAGCAGTGCTGGAACAACTGGGGGTATCTATATGGGGTGGGGGAGTAAGGAGCCTCAACCTTTACTTACTATCATACATAAAAATTAACTTGAAATGGATCATAACCTAAATTAAAAAGCTAAAACCATAAAACTTTTAGAAGAAAACATAGGAGAAAATCTTTGTGCCCACTGGAATGGGTAAAATAAAAAGACTGACAATATCAATTATTGGCAAGGATATTGATATTGATACTTATTGAGCATTATGTAAAAATGTCTATACCCAAACCTTATAGTTTTTCTATAAGCCTTTGTCAAACATGTCCATATTTTTCATGACTTTATAGACTTTGGTTTCTATCACTTAAGAATGCCATAGAATAAAATTCTTTGGAATAGGAAAGGATATTAGAGTTCATCTATAATAATATTTCTCAAACTGCTTCCTTTTAGTCGTGTTACCTCAGAGACTTATTCTTTCTGCCTGACCTCTTTCAGTGTGTGTAAATGAGTAAAATGCAGATGATGCCCAAATTGTAGTATTGTTATAGGTATTTTAAGTAATGTTTGGAAATAAATGTTTTATAAAACTATAAAAACTCTCTGTAGGGCTGGGCTCAGTGGCTCATTCCTGTAATCCTAGCACTCTGGGAGGCTCAGGTGGGAGGATCACTTGAGGCCAGGAGTTTGAAACCACCCTGAGCACGAGTGAGACCCCGTGTCTACAAAAAAATAGAAAAATCAGCCGGGCATGGTGGTGCACACCTGTAGTCTAAGCTACTCAAGAGGCTGAGGCAAGAGGATTGTTTGCAGCCCCAAGGAATTTGGCGGTGGGAGGGACCCTCTCTATAGTTAGCAATGGCCTACGAGGGTGATATGTAAACCATTGTTTTCTCTCCAATTCCAAAATAATTTACAGAAATAGTAAAACTGTTTAGATTTCCTTTATTTTGGGGGGGCTCAAGCAATCCTGCCTCAGCCTCCCAAGTAGGGACTACAGGTACACACCACCATGCCCAGCACAAGATTAGTAATTTTAAGCATAAAGTTTTGGGGCTTATTCTTTGTATATATTTACAGAGGTTTTGTTTTTTCCCTTTCATGTAAACAATTGAAGTGGCTGCCTTTTCTTCCCTTCTGAGATAAAGGAAATGAATTAATAATTGAATGTGTAACTTAAGAATTGTCTAAATTAATGCAAAGTCCTATGGTACCCTTGCAGTCGATACGCTCATAATGGGGGTTTCTGTCACCATTATTACTTGTTCTTTGAAAAGCCTGATGCAAAACCTATTAAGTTATTCATAGGGACTAATATCTATTTATCTGTTTGCCTCTCTATACTTTATCATTTTAGTCACCTACTGCAACGTTTGAGAAACACGGAGAGCACCTACCCCGAGGAGAAGGTAGATTCGGAGTAAGCCGTCGTCGACATAATTCCTCTGATGGCTTTTTTAACAATGGACCCCTACGAACTACAGGAGGTGAGCCATGTCCAACTTTTATGACTATATTTAAGCTACTCAGAGTAGGCCCAGGCTGAGGGTGTATGTCCATAATCTTGAAATAGGATCTTTTGTGAATATAGTTCTCAATTAGATCCTCTAATAGTCATTACCCAACTACATTGGCTTTCTAGGCTTACCATTTTTATGTTCTCATGAAACATTTATTCAGTCGAAGAACTCATTTAGAAATTACCTTACAAAGAAAAGATACATTTTGTGATTTGTGTAGAATTTTTATTGAAAAAGTCTTAAAGGCCTTTTGGCAATCCCATAAACCAGATCAGGAAACATCTGGCCCAGTTATTTCTGCATTTGCAGGAAGCAAACAATCTAATGTGTTAGTTTTCCTTACTATTCTAGATTCCTGGCACCAGCCCTCCCTGTTCCGCCATGATTCTGTGGACTCTGGTGTCTCTAAGGGAGCATATGCTGGAATCACAGGGAACCCATCTGGTTGGCATGGCTCTTCCCGAGGTCACGATGTTATGAGCCAGCGTAGTGGAGGTGGCACAGGGAACCATCGCCATTGGAATGGCAGCTTCCACTCCCGGAAAGTCTGTTCCTTTCAGGAAAGGCCATCTACAGAGATTAGGGAAGAAAAGAAAGAAGACAAGGTGGAAAAGTTGCAGTTTGAAGAAGAAGACTTTGTAAGTATGAACCCTTAGGTGGCCTGGTTAAACCCCAATAAAAAAATGTTTTAAATATGAGACCCTGTTAGTAATAAGAACATTTCAGAAATTACAGAAAAGGCAGTCCCTAAGTTTAGGATTTTATTGTTTGTAGAGGAAGGGAGTTAAATTGATTAGTTTGAAAATAATGACCAGAATTCCTTTGTAACTTTTTTTTTTTCTGAGACAGAGGCTCACTCTGTTGCCTAGGCTAGAGTGCAGTGGTATCATCCTAGCTCACTGCAGCCTGAAACTCCTAGGGCTCAAGGGATCCTCCTGCCTCAGCCCCCTGAGTACTTGGGACTATAGGCATGCACCACAATGCCGGGCTAATTTTTCTATTTTTTGTATGGATGGGTTATAGATATGTTGCTCAGGCTGATCTGGAACTTCCTGGCCTCAAGCAGTCCTCCCACCTCAACCTCCCAAAGTGCTCACAGATGTGAGCGATCACACCTGGCCTCATGTTAAATTGCCTTTTACTGACTATCGTAAGACAGTTTTTTCCCCTCTTGATTTTGTTCTCTATTATATAAAATAATTGTAAGTACGAACATGCAATTGAGAGTATTTTAGCTGTCACCTATATATTCATTATAACTTTCTGCAGTTGTGTGTTGAATTACATGCCCATGACTTTTTGCCTCTAAATTAAAGGTAGAGTTTTTAGACTACCTTTTTTTGAAATTTTAATAATATATTTTATCTAACAAAATATCATTTTAACATAAAATCAATTCTTTCAGTTATTAATGAGATAATTTATATTTTTATACTAGCTCTTTAAAATTCTGTGTATTTTCTATATTTATAGCACATCTCAATATAGACTATACACATTCTAAGTGCTCAGCAAGCACAGGTGGCTGATGGCTACTGTATGGGATAGTACAGCTCTAGTTATTTTTAATTTGTACATTAGATTAATCAGTTATTTCCATTACAGTCATTTCAACATGTTAATAAAGTCAACTAAAGAGGAGTCAAATTTAGGCAATACTCTGTCTATCCCCAAGTCTAGGAAATATCCTCGGGTCCTTGATTTAAATTATATGTTAATGTGAATTCCTATCCCCAGGAAACTTTATCCTTGGAAAAGTCTGTACTGCCTTTACATATTGAATATTTGTCCA